GGGGGGTGTGAGGAGATAGGAGCACAAAAATATTTTCATTAAGAACACTCACAATACTCACATATATGTACTTACTTGCTTTTACAGTGCCCGTTAAGCACTACAACGTGCTTTTCTTTAGGCTTATACAAGGCTTGCACCATCTGATTCATAATTAATAATTCCTTGAAAGCGTATCACACACCACTTATCAATCCACGAAATGAAAGCAAACCACAACAGCAATCCCAGGGCAAAATCAGCAGTAAGTGCATCAGCAGCCAAGCCACCGACAGCAACAGCAGCAGCAATAATAATAATAATAACAACAACAACAACAACAACAGCAACAGCAGCAGCAGTTATCCAATCATCACTGGAGGAAATGGCGACTCTGTTACTCGGAATTGTGAACGTGTAAACTGCTCACCGTGCTGAATTGTATCCTCACAAACCCCGAACAACTCGCTTCCAATTATGCTTCCCATGATGAAGAAAAAAAACAGAGTCACAAGCACGGCGTATTCTAAACACCCACTTCGTCACTATAATTATTATTGCATTATTCCTCCTGATATTCGTAGCTCTTCTACAATGTTATCGCGAGACGCTTCAGGACTGAATGAAAAGAACAACATGTTAGATTCTATAAATGCGGGTGCATAACAAACTGAAAAAGCACACCGTTTAGACAATAGTAAAAAAAGACATGCGCACCAAGCATGTCTAATACTTGTTAATGCACTGTTAAGATAACACACCCGTAACAACACGCGCACGGCACACTTCAAGAGCACACCACAAGGACAGTCTAACAGCTCGGCACCAAGCTGCACACACGCTCAAACTGCTACATATTATGTATTTCACAACATCGGTGTGCAGTTTCTGATGCATTGTCCTTGTAACCACATGTCGACGTTGTTATATTGTTATACTCTAACCGTGTAAGTGGAAGAAATAGGTAAACTTTTTTTTTGTTTAAACCATAGCCGAAAAGTCTATCTGCTATCCCTCGCCAGTAAAAAGCAGGATTTAGTTAAAGTTTAAGCAACAGTGTTATGACACTTGCGACACAGAGGTCACGTAAGTAGTAAGTACCGAAGATTAGAGGTGTTACCAGAGAGCAACATACAAGGAAGAGAAGGAAGAGAGATAAGGACGACACATGTTTGATCAGAAAGAAGGGGTAAACCAAACCAAAGCGCCCGCCAACCACTCACAAATGAGGAATTAGTACGCACTATAAATAATATTAAAGTACTGTGGGCTAACATCTTTGTATCTACTTCTATCATTTTAATTGGAATGTTCTTTTTCTTTGTTTTGATTATTTTTCTGCGAGCTGAAAAGTTTTCAGA